GGGAAATCTGGCACTGTCTGTGTTCTAAAACTAACATCTATGCTGTATTATTACTATAACACTGAATTACTAGGTACTGCAGCTAATCCATTTTATGTGTAGTGTACATGTATTCATAAGTTAAAACGATTACATGAAATGAGAGGAAGTGCACTATTTTACATGTGATGATATAATATTTCATTTTCAGGTGAAGATTTTCAGATTAGATTAATTACATTATTTCCAGACTATCTGAAAATCTGTAATTAACTTAGTTTCCTTCTATAGTGTCTTGACATGCAGTTGTAGCTTAATCTCAAAAATCATTTGGTCTGCTAGAGCATACTCAGTTTATTCAGGTGGGTAGCTGCGTCAGCATGCGTAGGCTGCAAAGGAACAAGTAATAGGTTTATTCCATGCTGAAAAAAAGAAGAAAGAGAACACAACGTTTCGGCCGTGGAGCCTTCTTTAGGTGTCAGGCATTTACTGCAAGAGATACAGTAAATAAGGTTGCTGGAGGTACAAGATGCTGTCTGGGTGATCCGGAATTGTCCTGAGGGGCCTTGAATGAGTGTGGTGGTGGATGTGTACTTGCAGGTGATACAGCGAGCACTGTTGCAAGGGAAAGTGCCTGGTGTGGATGGTTGTTGAGGGCAGTCAAGGGAGCTGTGAACAAGGAGGTTACACAGATTAGGTGGTCAGCGATATGAGATGATAGGGTGATCAGAAAAGAGGGCCCCAATGGAGGGATCATCCTGTAGGATGGAAAAGTTGTGGTTAATGGTCCAGGGGATAGGAAGTATGTTAGGGTGGCAAGAAAGCGGTTGTTACGGCGGGAGTTCCTGATCGGGTTGATGGACCGGGGGTTGTTTTTGGCTCGGGCAAGAGCCCTGTCAATCACACTGCTGGGATATCCTCTGTTGATGAAAAAGGAGTACATTTCGAGGGCTTGGTTCTCGAAGTCGATGTCATCGCTGCATAATCGTCGTAGCCTAAGGAACTGTGAAAAAGGAAGAGAGTTTTGGCTGGGGTGAAATGAGCTGTACAGGAGGTAGCTGTGTGAATCCGTGGGTTTGTAATAAACTGAAGTGGACAGTCGGGGGTAGTTGATGGAGAAGTTGATGTCTACAAATGGAGGAGAAGTGGAAGATATGTTAACCGTATATTTGAGGGACGGGTGGAAGTTGGTGAAATGGTGCAGGAAGAACTCAAGCTGATCATTGGAGCATGTGGCGGCACCAACGCAGTCATCAATATACAGTATCGTTTGTAGAGGTCAGGGACATAGCCAGCGTAGGAAGCGAAGAAGCGTTCTTCTACCCAGCCTACAAAAATATTGGCATAGCTGGGTCCCATTCTAGTGCCCATGGTAACTCCACTGACCTGTTGGTAAAAAAGATTATTGAAAGAGAATGCGTTCAGTGTGATGACCAATTCTGCAAGGCGTACTAGGGTGTGGGTGGGTGGATCAAGCACTGTGCATTTGTCCAGCATGTGCTTGAGGGCTGAAAGGCCGTCATTATGGGGAATGACGGTGTACAGAGATGTGATGTCCATGGTAAAAATGTAGCATTCGGTACCCTGAAGTTGGAAATCATGAAAAAGTTGGAGCGCGTGGTTGGCGTCTTTGATGTATGAGGGAAGATCTTCAACCAGCAGTCTCATGAGGCTGTCGAGAAAGGCTGAGATGTAAGTAGTTGGACAGTAACATGCTGATACGATGGGGCGTCCAGGGGTGTCCGGTTTGTGGATTTTGGGGAGGAGGTAAAATTGAGATACCTGTGGATGTTCCATGATGAGCCGGTTTGCCTCCTGGGGGAGCTCATTACTGCTGATAAGAAGAGAAATGGTGGATACTACTTCCTTTTGGTAGTCAGTGGTAGGGTCCTGTTGAAGAAGGAGGTAGGCAGAAGTGTCAGTTAGTTGTCTAGAGGTTTCAAAGATATTTAGATCCTTACGCCACACCACAACAGCGCCTGGTCCGAAACTGAGCCCTTTGATGAGGAGGGATCGCTCATCCTGTGAAAGGGAAAGGTCAGAAGGTATGGTGACAACAAGGTTAGGGTTGGTGAGGGTGTTTGGGGTGTTGATGGTTTTCTTCTGTAGAAGGTGACTGACACATGAAGAAGGCTCCACGGCCAAAACATTGTGTTCTCCTTCTTCTTTTTTTCAGCCTGGAATAAACCTATTACTTGTTCATATTCAGTTAATGTTTATAATGAATGTAAGTTGTAAGAGAATATAGCAGCACATTGTTTATCATGATATAAGGTAATAGTGGAATAAATGAGAGCTTAAATTCAAATTTAGAACAAAGAATGAGATGCTTGGACACCAAAAGCGTTACCATCATGTAGTCCAGTGGTTCTCAAACTGTGGTACTTGGAGCGCCGCCAGGTGGTACGCCATATGACCCTGGAACTTTGTTGTGTGCACTTAAAAATCGGGACGAGTTTTCATATTTTATATTTTAATACGCGTCGAATACGTACTACGATACAGAGCGCGCTAATACTTGAGTGGACACAATAGCTACTATGTAATTCTATACCATAGTATAGGAATGCGTGCTACGGACTCAAGTGACCAATTGTATTAAAAAAAACTTATCTCCAGCAAATAGGAAGGTAGGAGAATGTGCGTGATTTTGGAACAATGCCAATGTTGTAAACACAGGAATGCATAGAAATGCGTGCTACGAACGCTGGCAATCTTGTGAGCACAGGAAAGCATGATAGATAACAAAAAAAATATATTTAAGAACTGTTCTAGGTTAATTTGAGAAAAATACACCAAGCGTCTCTGTGTTTCGTTCCCGTACGCATGAAATAAAAACTTCTTTTAACTTCTGAGACGGACTCCTGAAACGGAAACGGGGGAAAATGCAAGCTTACAGATTGCTAAAGCAGGTAAACCCCCACACTATTTTGAAGGACCTTATTTACCTTTGGAAAAAGAGCTGACACGTATTATGTGTGGAGAAAAAGCTGCTAAACAGCTTGACCTGCTGCACCCTCTGAAAGACACGGTCACCCTTAGAATTATTGATATAGCGGATGATATCAAAAGTACGCTGATAGAGCGCGTTAAGATGAGCAGATGCTTTTCATTGCAATTAGATGAGTCTATAGTCGATTTGGCCAATTTGCTCGTTTACGTTAGATACGAGTTTGAGGGTACGTCCCATGAGGACTTTCTGTTCTGTAAGCCGCTACCAACAGGAACTACAGGAGAGCACATATTTCAGCTTCTGAATGCATGTATCGAAGAGAATGGCATCGACTGGATAAAATGCATCGGAGTTTGTGCCGAAGGTGCTAGAGCAATGACAAGCCGACACAGCGGTGTAGTTGCACGAATTAGAGACGTTGCTCCAGAAATGAGTGGACGCATTGCAACATCCACCGCCAGACCTTTGCCATCAAGAAAATGCCTGACGATTTAAAATCTGTAAGACTCTGTTGTGTATCAAGGCTCGAAAAATGAATTCACATCTGCTCGACTAAACAGGCTCACCACTCTCACTGAAATGGTGCTTTTTTATTTTTAATTGTTGTTGTTCCTGTTTTGTTTCTGTAAAGCGCTTTGAGAAGCCACCTTTAAAGGCGCTATATCAAATAAAGTTTATTATCATAATATTTATTATATGTGTGTGTGAGTGTGCGCGCACGCACACTCATGTTGGTCATTGAGAATTTCTGGAGTTCCTATGAGACGATGACTTGTAGGTGGTACTGGGATGCTTTGGTATGATTGGGGGTGGTACTTAGACCAAAAAGTTTGAGAACCACTGATGTAGTCTGATCTCCTTAGACCCGAGACACTAAGCAAGACTGGGCCTAATTAGTACTGAGATAGGAAAGATCAGAGGAAAAACAGGTTGCTGCTGCTAGTAATGTTAGTGTACCAGTTGGTGGCGCCCTTTCCTGTGGATAGAATTTCAAAATCAATGCCCCTTTTGTGACCTTTCCTTTGGATGGGATGTAAAACTGTGATCTTACCTACAATATGTAGTCACTAAAACCGTCATGTCATCTTTGAATGAGTGTGGGTGCAGGCCCTCTGAGAGCTCAGATGAGGCCTTGGCCATTTCACATTGTGAGGCCCCCTCATTGTTTGGGAAGAAGGGGGGAACAAATATTTTAATGTCAAGAATGGCATGATGGGAAGATTAAGGTAGGCATTTTGAAACTTCTAAAGAAAGGTAGATTCAGCACTGAAAGGGGGGTGTTTTTTCACAACTGTGGACTTTAGTCGAGAATCACAGTATGTGGTAAAAGTTCCAAATTTGACTCAAATCGAGAAACACAGCCAAATGGTTAAAGTGGAGGACCACGCAATCTTGGCTGAGGTGAGGCCCCCCTGTGAGGTGAGGCCCGGGCCACATGGCCCTGCTGGCCCCAATCTAAGCTTGTTTCAGTTTGGCCTAACTCAAGTTATCACTTAATTCATTTGGTGAAGCATTTATGTATTCTCCACCTTATCTGCTGTATTGCAGGGCTCCTGTGCATCATCCATGTGGATGCCGACCTATAGTGGTAAATGAATTGGTCCCTCTATGTGTAAAATGCAATGGGATCCTTTGAGGTAAACTGCACTGTATAAATGCAACGAATTATTACTTTTATCAGTTTGAAACATTTTTATATCTTTACTGTGACAGATCGGCACGCCCATCTCTCCAGCCTGTATCCAACGTTTTATTGAATAATAGTCCGGAACTCACAATAAGGTCTCTCAATACAGTTTCAGAAATATAATACAATACTTATATCAGATATATAAGTGAGCCCACAGACCAGTTTTCTGTTGAAACTAGCTTTTGGAACATTGAACAATTTGTAATTATTCTGAAATGAATAAATATATTGATACTATGTTAGACTGGAAATAACATTCACTTTAGATAAAAAAGAAACCTACAGTAAGGGATTGTTTTAGACCAATATATTTTCACCTTTTCTCTGAGTTGTATGTGCATAGAAATAATATTTGACCTTTCATTACTAAATAAGGCTGAGAAAGATATGATGGTCTGACATGGGGTGAAATAAATAAGGAATAATTAAACAGCCACAGTGTAACAGTGATTTATCTTTCATTATATTTTATTTTTCACAAAAAAATAAATTCTTCTTTTATTTTCCACCTTGAAAGCATATTTGTCCAAACACGAAATTTCAGAAAACAAAGTGCAGCAGATTTTACATTTGGGTTCAAGTTTAAAAATATTTCTGTCAGTAGATGGCGTGGCTTTGCTTTTTTACTTCACATTTACAACAGACCTTATGACCAATAATCACCATAATATCAGACAATCTTTTTATAATACTTAGAATATTTCAGAACTCCAAGCTTATACATAGATACACATTTAAGATTCTTCTACAGTCTGTTTGCTAATGGCATCACTTATTATATGTGTTAAGTTAAGCAACTTTCTTCTTATATTGTCAAAAAGGTTAAATACTACAATACTGTCAATGCGTCTATGAGCTACAGGTGATTGGCTAAAAAATATTGATGGTGAAACCATGTGGAAGCATTTGTTAAATACCAAGGTATACAGTACATCTGAATACAAACAAAATGTTTATTTTCAATAGAAAGGCATGGTGATGTTAACAGTTACACCCCTGACTTGGGGCTCATATGGGGCTCATATTTGTTATTTTTACACATATACACAAATAAACAAAAATAATTACACGTATTTTGAAAATGTACAAGTGACAACCAGAAAGAGTTTCAAAGGTTTCTCCCTCAGAGGAAAATATATAAAATATGAGCTGACATTTTTTTCATTACATTTTTTTTTACCAGTGTGTTCTCTATCTAGAGTTTGGTCTTCACATTTTACCATTACTTTTATAGTTAACACAAGAAGGAAATTTTGCTTTGGAGTAGAAAAGGGCTTTGAAAAACAATCGGTGTTTTCTAGAAGTGGTCCCTTGCAAGGTTTTCTAAGATCACAGACACATGGTGCACATTCAAGTAGAAAACATCTACTAAGAAATGATTGTGGTTGCCTTATCTCTCTTCTATTCTCTTGAGGTGTCCAGCTCTGATGGGAAATCTATAGATAATTGTTTTGTGAGCTGGTTGGCTCCAGCAATGATGAGTGAAACTGGTTGTATTAAGGCCAGGCTGTCTCATGCAGTTGTTCTTTTTATTTTCTACAGACCTTATTAGCAATTATTGCCCCGTTTTGCACTTATCATACAAAAAAGTAAGGTATCATTAATAGGTACATGAAACCCGTGCTTTCCAGTATCGATAAATATCAGATCACCTGGTCCCAGTTTGTAAAACCTAGTGAATAGTCTTTTAAGTTGTAAACTTCTGTAATGCCCATAAATTCCCATTTACTGATAAATCGGTGAATGAACAGATAAGCATCACAAACCTTTGGATTCAGTTCTAACCAGTGGCGCCTTCTGTGTAGCGTTTACATGTTCACACCTTGCCACATGGGTATTCCCGGCCAACTCTGGTTTCCTTCCATCCTCCAGAGATGTGCTGACTAGATTAAATGTGTCTGTAAAGTGTTCCTACGTGTTTGTGTGCATGTGTGTGCCTTGCATCCTGTTTAGGATTCAGTCCTGCCTTGAGCCTTAGGCTTCTAGAATACGTTTCAGGTTGCCATCATCTTAACCAAGAAAGAGCATCTTTCTCTTAATGGATGGGTAAACAGATAAACATTGAAAATGTGTTATATAATATCAAAGGCCTGAGCCATTCTCTTAACATTGGAACTCTGTCATTAAACATCTGTGCACTTATTACTATAAGCTTAATCATATTTAGGAGCTGAATAATATGAAAAATGTGCATTTAAGAAATTCATGTTTGTAGGAATCACATTTCTCCCTTCAGTAATCTGATCTTATCATTTGTCAATAGAGGTCCAAACATACTGTACGTCTGGTCAAGCACTCAAAAAAAATACTGTCTAATTGGAAAAAAAAAATATTTTTAACCTCAGTTTTAAATAACAAACACAAGATTTGATCAGGTTGGTTTACTTATTTGCAAGTCTGTATTCAGGAGGGGAGGGGTTGTAAAACATCCCACATTGTTAATTATTGTGGTAGAGAAGTCCCTCCCTCCTGCCTGGTGTCTGTTATATACTGGCAAGCTAACACCCTGCAACTCTGATTAAGAGTTCAGCACTTTCAGGATGTCCTGAAACTACCAGTGAAAGGCCAGACCTTGGAAGCAATTCTTGAAAGTTGACACACAACACGTAAGAATCAGCATTTGCCTTATTTTACTTTTACTAAGCTTATTATCTTGACACTTTGTCTTTCTCTGCGGCACAGACAGCAGCCTCACAGCAAATGTGCTGAAACTGTTATATTGACTTTGACCAATATAATTCCAAAATAATTTCTAACTCTGTTGATTGTCAATTTTACATCACAAAATGTAAATATGTTAGCAGTATAGATTTCTTTCTCATTATATACACATGTGTAAATGTATAGGTACTTAAAAATCTTGTATATTTTTTAACACAACAACATTTTAAATTCCTCTAGTATGTATACAGATATTACTTGTGGGTTTTTTTAGTCCTTAAGTACTGTTATTGTAAGTTGTAGATTCGTTCTGACCTAGAATGGTGTAGTGTTTTGTGTGATACATTAATACAGGGATGGGCAACACCAGTCCTTTTATTTCACTTTCAGATGTAAAAATAAATACGTCATAGAACTAATTATGGTATTATAGTCAAACAGCATTCAAAAAACACTATCTGAAAAGATGCAGCCCTTCATACATTATCTCTGACAATATCCTTTGAGATAAGAATATGTCAATTATATTAAATCTTAAAAATATACAGATATATGCAAAGTATATCCAGTATAATATGCAGTAAAGATGTTTAGAGAAATTATTTTTAAGATATATAAAAATAAAAATCATTAAGTATTTATTTTACACTTTCAAGAACAACATAAACACAATTTAATATATATATATATCTCTCTCTGAAGACCCTCAAAGGACTAATCACAGTGCAGCCGTGTGGTGAGCGACCTCTTGATGATATTTTGCCCTTCTTTTCAACTGGCAGGTCCAGTCACTTCTAAGAAGAAACCCACAATATGAAATGCCAATTCTATCAATCTTGTACTGTCCACCTAATAATTTAGATGAATCTCCAAAGGCTCAAAAACTGCTGTAGCATTCTGGGGGGAAACTAATGGCTGAAAAACTACAGCAGATGTAGGAGGTTTTGAGCCCTTTAAGCAACATGCTGACGTCATGCACACCACAGCGCTCGGAGCGCCCTGTCTCTTTAAGAGAAATGTGCCGCTGCTGCCACCTAGGGGTGCCGTCCCGAAGCTGACGCAGGCTTTTCTTTCGATTCGGGAAGGAGGGCTAGCTGCTCTCCGGCTGCTACAGTGTAATGTATGCTATGGCTGCACGTTGCCGTACCCAGTAAATGAACAGAACTTGGCTCGGGAGGGTGTGTCAGAGCGAATATTTCAATCAATCCGGTTGAAAACCGGGTGTTCGCGCATTGCTGATGCGTATTAGAAGGATATCAACTTCTGGCTACCTTGATCAAAGCACTCAGAATGGAATGCTGAGGGGGAAATGCAAAACCCGGTACATGGCTTTTATTATTATTATGCTTATTGCTATTATTATTCACCTTGTAGTTACGTAGGTTGTGAGAATATTTTACTTTGTTGCTCCCCTGTATGCGGAGCAGGTTTTCGCGGGTGCGATTTAGAAAATCGTTCATTTCGGAAGGGAGAGGGTGCATTTAGGGGAAAAAAGCAAAACGGGTGGGGGGTTGGTCTTGTATAACTAGATCCAGTAGAAATGCTTGCCTTGAGGAAATAAATCGTCTCTTTCAGCAAGATAATATACACAATGCTTGTAACTGGGTAGCACTTGTACACATTACACTGCATTCTGAAGAGGCATTTCCCGTGCTTCGGTATTTTGTAAGTTATTTCTTATAACCTTTGGAGGAGTTTAACTTGCATTGCATCCGCTCTTCGGTCTTTACGATAATATTAACCCATTTTCAAATCATTTTCTGCTCTCCGCCAGGCTTGAGGAGGGAGACGGCTTCCTGTTCATCCTGAGTCCATTTTAAATTATTTAGCAAATCTGGAGTGAACTAATACAAGGCATCGAGATGCAGACCTTTTTAAAAGGCAGGAGAGTGGGATACTGGCTCAGCGAGAAGAAGATCAAGAAACTGAATTTCCAGGCCTTTGCCGAGATGTGCAGGTACCGTTTCCACTTTTCGGAATTAATGTATTTCTCCACGTTTCGGTTTATCACAGGAACTGCGCACTTGTCGCCAGTTAGAAATTTCGGGTTGCTGTTAACCTGTTGTTGTACTACTTATAACGAAAACGCACATTGTCCTTTACGGTAAAGCCGGTTAGTTGGCCCGAACACAGTTCCCATTAGTCAACCTGTTGCTGAAGGCGACGGCAATCTCATAGCAATCCCAGTGGCATCCTGAGCTCGCCCAGTTCTGGGAAAACCCAGGGTAGTTGCTGGGATTTGCGGAGCCCGGAATGAAGTGCTCCACTCGGATAGGGTCTTTTTAAAGTAAGCATCGACTTTCTTATGAAGTGGGGGATTACCTGGAGAAAGGAGATTAGATGTCACAGTGAGGACGCCTAACTGGAATAGAAATGCTTTCGCAGGTGAAGTGACAGGGATGTTGCTTGCTTTACTGTGGAGAGACAGATACGCTATTAGCAGTATTCGACTGGATATTCCAGTAAAGCATGCTTTAAACTGTAAAGTAAGCGTTGCTTTGTTGTGAATTTACGTTTTACGTTCAAATTTGCGTTTGGGACTTGATATTATCACGAGTGTTTATTTGAGAGCTATTCCATTATCTGTTGTCTGTTCACACTGTACATCAATGATAGTTGTGTTGTTTTTTTTATGTCTGTGCTTTTAAAAATAGAAATATACTTATGTGATGTTAGATTCGAGATGAGATGTATGATGTCAGAATTATTTTTAGCTCATTATCTTTCTGATGAAAATGCAGAAAATGATTTGACGACTTAGGTGTGCGACAGGCTCTGGATAGATAACACGTTTAAAGATGCATGTCCCGGCAGGTTTAGAATTTCCTGATGTTTTCAGGAGAGAACAAATGCGACTTTATTCATGTCACGTTTTTCAAATCTCATTGATAGCGTCTAAGGCCATCTTAAAAGAGCTCTGTTTAAATTGTTGCAGTGAAATCTTGGGGTTAGTTCCTGTTTCCAATGCAAACAGTACGGCGAAGTCACTTCTTTTCTGACGACTACAATGTTTGAGTAAAAACATTGTAGTCGTCAGAAGTTCGTGAAAATATTTTGGTGCGTGAAATTGAGTTCGTGAAAATGTTAGCATGAGCAGAAAACCTACACACATAAAGATGTTTGCAGTGGTGTTGGGGAATCATAAAACCTACCAAAGTACACACGTGTGCCTGGCTATAGTTGATCTAAAATTGTGTATTGCCTGTCCCGTCCGACTGTAATTCACGGGCTAAAATTAGTCATTCTCTGTTGGAGACAGAAAAGAAATGCAATTGACCTGTCTGGACTGAACCTTTTTGTTTGCCAGTATATGGCACAGCCTGACAGAGATGAACTTCTTCAGTAAATCGAACTATTTGTAATGGTTTATGGTGAACAGAAAGCTAAGGCCATTAAGAGGAAAATCTAGTGTTGGCATGCTGGGAAGGCATCCTTTCATCTCCTAGTTTAACCTCTAAGAATGCAAGTCTGCCTCTCCTGGTCTATTTAGCAGTGTTTCCTCTGGTGGGAGAGATCCCAAATGAAACCCATGAGTGGCTCCATTATGAAGAAGAAACTCAGTCAGATTAAAAATAACCAACAAAATTCAACTCTTTGTCAATGAAGATTCTTTAGTTTATCTCTATTCGAGGTAATTCCATCTTAAAAATATTTGGAGTATTTGGCCTTACTTTGTAGCTCTATTTTCTAAATCTAGTTTGAAAAGGTGGATCTATTTGGAATTGTTGCTGCTTTGTAAATAAAAACAATGAGGTTATGTTACCCCAACAGTGTTATTTATAAATGAGTTTAGAATCGCTGAGTACAAGGTTTGTTGTCATTTTATTATTGCAAAGGAAACTTTCACTTGTTACATGTTTGGATTCTCCCATTGTGTCGTTGCTACAAATCCGACAGTAAAGAGTAGCGTTCTTCTATACGGTTTCTATAAATAGCAGGTTTTTGTCATTTTTAACATCTGAAAGTTTGCCAGCTTTGGTATGTTCCTGTTTCTATATGTATAACTTTTTCTTGCCTTGGATTGAATCTCCTAGATTCTGTAAGGTCCGTGATAATACAGACATACTGTCAATGGGAAATGCTTGGCTATAGGCTGGTTTGAAAGTAGAAGATATTAAAAATAATAAAATGTCATTGATCCTGGAGCTTGAGTCATTAGGGCACATGCTTTTAGTACTAAGCTTGTTTCAGAACTGGTTGAACAGGAAGAAGGACACTGTGTCACATGAGTTTTCCTTTTTAAAAATACAATTTTGTTTGTCTGACACAGTTTCCTTATGTGCTTTATGAAACATGAAACAGGTCATCAGTTTTCTTTTCAACTGCTGCTTAAGAACAACCCTTCTTTAGGGAGAACTATGTATTGTAGAAAGATGCTTAGTATTATCCAAGCCTTTAGCACCTAAGATGATTTAGTGTTGGTTTAAGACTCAGAATGTTGTTGTTTTTTTTAATTTAAGAAGTTTGTGAGTTTCCTCATTTTGAAACAGGGCTGACCAATTTGTGTGTGTGTGTGTGTGGGGGGGGGGGGTCAATATTTTGTGAATATGTCCTAAAATGTCATGCTAACACGCTAAATCATCTTAGGAGGAATTTATTTATGTCAGACAATCAGTTGTATCGGTAAAGCCCTTTTTTATAGTGCATTGAACGCTTGCAAGTTTCATTGCAGGGAAGAGCAGCCACTGGTTGGTTTTGGCAGGTTCTCGAGGTCAGGTGTTTTGTTTTGCCCTGAAGTTCGCTGTAGCCTGAATTGGCTAATTCCAGATGGAGAAAAAAAAATGTTGTATACAAATAAGAAGTGTTTTTGGAATCCACCACTTTCTTAAAAAAAAAAAACTTTTCCATTTGTTTTGTGTAACACCTTAACTGTTGTACATACTGCTTAAGGAAGTTCCAGTTTCAAACTGACTTTTGGACTTTTATAATTTTTGATCTGGTTGTGTTTTGTACATTTCAGGTACTGTATGTTTAATTTTCTTCTTACAGCATTGTTTCCCTTATTGAACATTTCTTTCCTGGGGGTTCAGAAAGAACTGATTTTTGTTTCTTTCTGAAAATAGTCCTCGTGAAAGTGCAGGGAAAATAATGCTTCTCACGTGAACCTAAGGGGTCTCGTGCATCTTTGCACTGTTCACACCTTCTCGCACCAGAATATTTTCGCAATTGACATGCAGTAGAGCTGGGCGATAATTCGATAACGATAATTATCGCAATATAATTTTCCTTGATATAATTTTAACAAAAGTTCGATAAATGTTTGATATATATGTTTATGCTTTGCGCATGATATGCGCATGCACACAAAATACTGCGCGAGGGCGGGTGCGTGTTGCAGACCGGGCAGCTAACATATTTGTTTAATGTTTCTGCTGTTTGGCAAGTGTTTGTTGTGTTCTTAAAATAAAGAGTTGTTTAATTTACCAATTAACTGTCTGGTTTCTTCAACTTTCACTCAGGAGAAAAAATCTACCTTTAAACTTGAAAGAAATAATGATTTGACATTTATCGCGATAATTATCAATATTGACTGATACAAAATTTTTTATCATAATAATGTTTTTGGCCATGTCGCCCAGCCCTAACATACAGTATCTTTTGTAGCATTGTGCTTACGCAGAAGAGAGCCTTCAAGTGTAGTTTAGAGTACATCAATTTATTGTGACACTAAACCATTGGAGCCAGCAGCCATATCACCCTGCAGCTCTCAACAGGCCACCCACTGAAGCTCAGCAGGGCTGAGCCTCGTCAGTACCTGGATGTGAGACCTCCTGGGAAGCTATGGTTGCTGCTGAAAGTGGTGTTTGTGGGACCAGCAGGGGGCGCCCACCCTGTGGTCTACGTGGGTCCTAATGCCCTGGCATAGTGAGACGTTAAACCCAGGCTCTGACTGTTAGTGGTCCTTAAAGATCCCAGGGTATTTCTCGAGAAGAGTAGGGAGTTATCCCTGTGTCCGGGCCAAATTTCCCCCCTCAGCCTTTACCGTGGCCTCCAGATTGTCTCCATGTATGATTGGCTTGCACTTGCCCTGAGATAGATAAAGAGGTTAGAAAATGGATGGGTGTTGTTTTTATTACAATACCTAGATGAGTTGATAGGTATATTATGATAGGTATTATTGAAGAAAGGGTAATATGGTCTAGTTTACGTCACTCCTTGTAATATGTATACTAACGTTTTTACCTTATCTTTAGCCACAGGACTCTTATTGAGTTCTTGCATTGTAAAGATAAAAAATTATGAGTCTTAGAACTGTATGATCTTTCAATTGCACTTTTTGTTTTGGTTTTAAGTTCTGTTTGACTCACACTAAAAACATATGGAATGTTAACAATGATAAAAATCAGTTTAGCAAAAGTGCCATATTTTAAAAGTTTTAAAAGTGTAACTCTAATGAGTTACAATTGTACAAAATACAGTTTTACAAACTGCTTTTCAACCTTTCATACATTTTGAAGCTTTAAAGCTTGCTGTTTTGACACTTTGAAATGTATAGGTTGTTCTATACGCAAACTACTCCACACATTCAAAGCAGATAAACAAAGAAAGTAAATAGGCAATATATAATAAAAATGGAAAAGTAATGATTGCTTAAGTATTCAAATCCTTTGCTGTGGTAAACGTAAATTAATTAGATCCACAAAATTACCTTAACATCACGCTTAATTTGTTGAGTGGTCTCTGTGTCCAATAAAAGTGGTTCTCATTATTTTAGAAAAAATACATCTGTCTCTGTAAGGTCCCTTAGTTGCATTGTGAATTTCAAGCAAAGATTCAACCATTAAAACCAAGGAGATTTCGAAACTCATTGATAGTTGTATAAAAAAGGCATAGATCAGGAGAAGGGTTTTAAAACATTTCCAAGACCTTAATATCTCTTTGAGCGTGGGAAAGTCAATCGTTAAAAAGTGGAGTACACCCAGACACTGCCAGGCTCGGACTGTCCCTTCAAACTTA